CTGCCAAACCAATCTCTGCACCAACTCCGCGCCGAAAACGACCTGTGGCTAACAACTTAGACACGCCTACCTCAAGAAGCCAGGTTGCTCCTGGACAGGCCCATTTAGTTGGAAGAACTCTGGGAAGCAGTCAAGTGCATGGCTAAAGGGAAAAGCCCAGGAACTGACGGGCTGTCCGTCGAATTCTATGCAGCGCTCTGGGAACATGTGGGTTGCCCCCCTGCTAAGCCTGTACAACCGTATTCTCGAAGGAGGTTCTCGGACAGAAGAAATGAAATGCGGGATCATCACGCTAATCTACAAGAAAGGAGACAAATGTAATATACGTAACTGGAGGCCGATCTCCAGACTCAACGTCTCCTATAAGCTCCTTGCCAAGCTACTAGCCAGAAGACTGGCCCCATACCTACCAGCACTTCTACATACGGATCAAGGGGCGTTTGTGCAAGGCCGCTCAATTGCAGAGAACATCATGACTGCGATGGGGGCCCTTGAAATTGTTCAAAAAGAGAACAGACAGGTGCTGGTTGCGATGCTGGATCTGGAGAAGGCTTACGACCGAGTCAACTGGTCGTTCGTCTTGGCCACTTTGGAGCACATGAAGTTCGGCCCGATGTACCGCACCTGGGTGAGAGAGAGTCCAAGGCCACGGTAATGGTCAACGGCTATCTATCTCCCATTTTCTCTCTCACACGATCACTCCGCCAAGGTTGTCCATTAGCCCCCCTCCTCTTCGTACTACAGATGGATGTCTTGCTGAACGCTCTGAGGGTTGCTCCATGCATTCAAGGGCTTGACTTGGGACGGGGCGACCGAGTACTTACTGGGGCAATAGCAGATGACTTGCTACTTGTGATGGAAGCAACACCACAATCAATGCTAGAAGCCAAGCGCATCTTGGACTCCTATTCCCACCTTTCCGAAGCGCAAGTCAACTGGAATAAGTCATTGTACTTCTTACCAGCGGACTACAGCTTAGAGGGAGGGGACTGTGGTATGAAGAGGATACCTGTCAACCTCTCAGAGAGATATCTGGGACTGCAGGTATCCCTCTCTGACGCCCGCACAAACCAAGCCTCGATCTTGCGGGCCAAGACTCAATCTTCAATCCTACGATGTCGCATGGCAATTGGCATCTCTCTGCTAGGGCGAGCTATCCTTATCACCTCAGTAGTTTTCGCCCAACTTGGCTTGTAGCAGCAGTCTTCCTGATTTCCAAACCTACCACCGACTCATTACTGAAGACGCGGCTCGGTGCCTTTGGAAACCAGGGGAGTTACACGAGGGAGGCTACATCAGTAAATGTGCGTGGAACAAGGTTACCGCCTCCAAGGCGGAAGGAGGACTCGGACTGGGCATCGTTGACCCAGCAACCCAGAATGTCGCTCTGTTGGGCAAATGGCTCTTGACGGCGGCTACACAGGTGGAGAGAAGGACCTGGATAGTAATCTTGGAGTACATAGAGAGTTCACACTGACAAGGGCTGCGGACCTGTGGCATTGTGTCTTCATGGCCTCCTTCTCCCGTAGGCAACCTCGATCACCGCTGGGAGCAGCCTGCTGGACAGCTTGGAGAGCGTTACAACCACAAGTGACCAACGAGCCAGTGACCAGGCAGGAAATACTGCGTCAACCCCTATTCGACAATCCAGCCATCCCGAATCTGCGGGGCCAACAGTTCGCTGCGACATCAACACCAGGGGATTTTGGCAGGAGATGGGTTGAACGAGGAGTCACAATCATCTCAGGCATCTGGCAGGAGGATACTAAGTCCTGGACACCTGCAGAACGGCTTCAGGGCAAACTCAGACATCTCCCAAGAGTCAGGGACAGACTCCAGCTACTGCAAGAAGCCATCCCAGCACAGTGGCTATCTCTGCTCCGGTCCTCGGACCCTGTGGAAGGCGATTGGTACCTCGACTCACAAAGACCAGGTAGGGGGACTGTCCTCCGAGTTCTGGACCCGCTGGACGACGACCTATGGTTAGCACAGGAATGGAAAGTGGGTGACCGAGGCGCAGATGGAAAGATACTACAGCCGCAAGGAGAGACAGCCATCGCCTCTAGCACCACACTCTCTCTGGTTCGGGTTCATACCCGACCGCGAGGCCACCCCCCTACTCGCGAACTCCTTATGCAGGGGCAACCAGTGCTACAGATGAGGATTGATCCAGTCAGTCGACAGTGGAAACAGATGACGTCAAGACCTAACCTGCAGCTCTTTCAATACTCCTCACGAGTGGGCAGGCAGCTACTGAGCAAACACACAGGACTGGCTCCAGGGGCGGCACATGCCCTTAATCTCATCACGCCAGTCCAGCTGCCAACCTCGGAATGGGATCTGACAGCGCTGTGGGACCAATTATTAACTCTCCCCTCGCGAAAGTTCTCAAGTCTGCTCTGGCTCATCTCTCACTCAGTGCTCCCTTGTGCAGTCTGGCTGTTCGAGAAAGGAATGGACTTGGAAACGGAGTGCAGACACTGTGGTTGCCGATCAGAAGAGACCCTTCACCACCTTATATGGAGCTGCCCTGCCTCTAGACGCATATGGGAGTGGTTGAGCCGCCACTGATACCGATTCGTGGGACCCCTCCTGCAATGGGATGAAGTCTGGGCCCTATTGGGCCGCCTCCCACCCTCGTGGTTCAAACATACTGGTCGTGGTTATGTGGCCCAGGCGATCCGCTCTGTCATCATTTGGGTGATCTGGGAGGACAGAAACAATGTCCTCTTTCGGCAACAGTTGTCCAATGACGCAGCCATCACCCAAAAGATCAAGTACTGGATACGCATCATGATCAGAATGGATTGGACCAGATGTGCAAAGAAAGGTACCACGCCAAGAGGACGTCACTGGTTCCTTGTTACATGGGCACGAGACAATCAGCTGGCCGTCGTCACACGGGAGGGCAAGCTCCATATTTCTCCTTGGCTCTCGGGCTAGCAGTTCAAGCGAATGGTTACTCTTCAATTGAACCAGGACACTCGGTTCCAGTGGTCGGCCACAGTAGACCGCAGGGGGTTGGTGGGTTGGAGAGGGTCAGGTCACTTTAACGGAACTTCGGTTCCTTCCGGCCGCAGTAGGCCTGAACCTGAAAGGTAGGTCTGTGTATTTTTGCCAGCGGCAGGATAGGGACAGTAGGGATTATAGTAGGGTAGACAGTTGTTCTGAGAGAAGAATTAGGAACCTTCAGGTAACATTTAGCAGTTTAGGCACTAGACATTAGAATTAGGAATTGGACTTCATAAGCTAAACCGGCTGATGCTGCCGGGATAACTCCGGGTTGAATTGTGAGGTCCCCGGCCTCTATTCATGCATTGATTGATAATAAATTCGAGTTAAAAAAAAAAAAGAAAAAAAGTACACCCGATATTTTTGTCTTTCTTACATTTGGTGAGTGGTGCGGCGAGGCCCTTCAGGCACCGATTGGTCGGACGCCTTCGTGGTCAAGCGCCACACCGCTCTCTCAAATGTGCAAAATGAGAATGGACTTCCTCCTAGAACATGGCCAGATGCACCTGCCAACATTTTGACACACACGCATACAGTCTGCTGAGAGAAAATTAGCACGCGAGCCGCTATAACACACTGGTCCGCTGGTCCCGCCGGTTTCACACTTCAACAGCCAAAGTAACAGATCACCCATTCTGGCGAAGCCCCTGCCTCTCGAATAATCACCAAGACTTTTCGCCTGACAGTGTGCGACGTGGCCGATACCACAGACCCTGAATTCCGAGCACCAGATGATGCTCATGCCCACCAAGTACACTATTGCAGCCCATTTCTGCCATCCAGTTGCAAGGTATATGAATAATTTGCCCGCTGCTCCCCGGGTCCCTGCTATGCCCGTGCTCCAGACGTTTCTGGACATTTGTTTGTGCTATAGCCTATCCGCCGCCGTCCTGGCTGCGCCCCCACGACCCCCGTGGTATCAGTACTTTTCCATGTTGTAGGGGAAGATTCATTCTCATTTTGCACAATTGATGAGTACCAGAGCGAGGCCCAAGCTGTACAGTGAAGTGTATCAGGGCAGCTTTGCTGCTACTTCCATTCGCCCCGACCCAGACTGTTCGATCTGGAGGGTCGATGGCCACAGGAGGAACACGGAGTCGCTGCCAGAAATGCAACCCTGCCCCCATTGGCCGCGTGGTCTGGACTTGGGTAGCATGGATCTGCGCGAAAAGAACGCCAGGTTCATGCTCGTTTATTTGCCACAAACTACGATTGGGGTGCGTTGTGTTCGGGGGAAGACGGGGGTAGCGGCTCCATCGAGCAGTTGCTCAGGGATCTGTGGTTTAAGGCCGTCCGATCTGATAATCGGATGCCCAGTGTCCAACCGAGATGCTACCTGCTAAAAAAAAGAAGAAAAAAGAGATGCTATGCGCTTCTCCCGAGCAGAACGCCGGTCGTTATCTCTGTATCTGTCGGAAAAGTTCCACTGAATTCATGTATGATGGTTGGACTTCAGCAATGACATTTGGGTGAGGTCCCACTAGCAAGAGGGCTGGATAAATATCCTGAATCTGGATGTGTTCTAAGCAGAGATGAGGACAAGCAGTTCAATCTCGACATTCTGAACCTTTCCACAAACAAGGCCAGATTCAGGTGTTCAATCCAATCCTCTTTGCTAGTGGGACCTCGCCCTGGGACTCGGTTGGACAGTCAATGATGCAATGCGGAGTAGAGGACGAACGGGGAAAAAAAAAAAAAAMAAAAAAAAAACACGGAAAAGAGCCGCCTCGAACGGGAAAAAAAAAAAAACACGGAAAAGAGCCGCCACAGAAGGAGGGTGACGACGAGTAAGGCAGAGACGACAAGAGAACGAATGGCCTCCAGTGGACGAGGAAGAAAAGCCAGAAAAAAGGCGAACCATCGAAAAAAAAAGGATAGAGAGAGAGAAAGGCAAACGAAAAGGAAAAGGAAACTCGCATATAGATTAGTTAAAAAAAAAAAAAAGACGAAACTTGCACGGAATATCGAGCGCGAGTTCGACTTATCGACTTAACGCAAATTGGTGATACTCTCGTTGTAGTCGGGTGTGCGTCTGTGGGTGGGAATCTGTAGTCATCGACGCACCTCGATCGCTCGACCGATCGATTGGCTGATTGACTGAGATCGATCGATAGACAGATTGGTTCGTTCTCCCGGTCGCTACCAAGGTGTGGGACAAGTTGTGAGTGGCAGCTATGGCGGCAGCTTTGGCGGCAGCTTCGGCTGCGTTGAGCGCCGGCCAAGTGGCAGCAGCATCAGGTAGCCTGTCAACGGCAAGTCCGAGGCAGCCGCTGCAGCGGGGGCAACCGGCGGGATCCAGCGCAGTTCTTGTCGCAGCGCGCCTGTCGAGAGACGATCAGAGTGCCGCCCAATGTTCGGCATTCTCAGCGTCGGAGATGTTTGGCGGCTCAGCAGCTGCCGCATTGCGACAGCAACCACTCTGTGCGACACCCGTGGCTAGAGGCTCACAACACCGCAGACCGGCCATCGTCTGCAAGGTGCGGCGAAAATGAGCGCCCTCTCTTTCCACTTCTTCTTCTTCTTCTTCTTCTTCTTCTTCTGCTTTTGCTTCTGCTTCTGCTTCTGCTTCTGCTGCTGATTGGTTGACGGCAAATCAATAGCTCAGAGTGTCTGGTTTCCCCTCCTCTCTGCGCGATGACGTTGGTTCAAACTCGTATTTCTTCTTCTTCTTCTTCTTCTTCTTCTTCTTCTTCTTCTGCTTCTTCTTCTTCTTCTTTTTCTTCTTCTTCTTCTTCTTCTTCTTCTTCTTCGTCGTCGTCGTCGTCGTCGTCGTCGCCGTCGTCGTCGCCGTCGTCGTAGTAGTCATCGTCTTGTTCCTCTTCTTCTTCATCTTCTTTGTCGTCGTCCTCGTCGTAGTCGTCGTCTTGTTCCTCTTCTTCTTCCTCTTCTTCGGGCTTACTCACACTAGGCCCTCAAAATCGCAAAATCGCAAAACGAGCGGCCAGATTGAGTCCTTGTAAAAGGACGACTCGATCTGGCCGGTTATTTTGTGATTTTGTGATTTTGAAGGCCTAGTGTGAGTATACTCTTCTTGTAGTCCCTTTTTTTTTTT